ACATATCCAACAAGGGTTTTAATCTCTAAAATTTATAGAAAACTTCAACACGTCAACATCAAAAAGACAAACAATCCAATTAAAACATGGGCAAAGGACATGATGAGACACTTCACCAAAGAAGACCTTCAGTGGCTAACAAACACAGGGACAGATGCTTGCAAACATGATGAGACACTTCACCAAAGAAGACCTTCAGTGGCTAACAAACACAGGGACAGATGCTTGCAATCACGGCCATGGAAATCAAAACTACAATGAGACATCATCGCACCCCGGGACTAAGCGCCCTGATCAACAAAGAGAACAAATGCTGGTGAGACGTGGAGAACTGAAACCACCACTATGGCAAACAGTATGGTGCGTCCTCACAAAGCCAGTAACAGAAATACCATACAATCGGGCAATCCCACTTCTAGGTATGCATCCTAGAGAAACAAGAGCAGTGACACGAACAGACATGTGCACACCCACGTTTATCGCAGCACTGTCCACAGCAGCAGAAAGACGAAAACAACCTAAGTGCCCAGCATCAGGTGAACAGATTAACCAAATGGTACATGCATACCACAGAATACCTGCAACGATAAGGAGTAACAATGAGTCCGCCAAACATCTCACAACCTGGACGAATCTGAAGGATGCTACGCTGAGTGAAGTGAGTCAAATGTGAAAGGACAGACACTGTATGTCACTATCATAGAAAGTGAGGAACAGGCTTACACACGAAGGAAACATTCTTTGATGGCTACCAGGGAGGGGAGGAAGAGCAAGTAGGAAGCACTGCGTAGATAGCAGACAAGAGCTAAACACGGTGAAGGGAAAGGTAATACACAACATGGGGGACGTCAGCACAAGGTGACCACGGCAAAGGAAGACGCCAAGAGGTTCTCAGAAATAAAGGACGGCTACAGTGAATGCCATAACACACCCAACCCTGCCACAGCAGCAATAACTAACAATGTGTGAGTAGATACCAAGCTAAGCATGCATGCAACCCAGGTGAGGGAGGCAGACGGGAGCACACCTCCACACATACCCAGGTATGGCGTGGCTATTTCCACACACAGATTTGCAAATGCTGCACATACATCCGCTACAGTACAGCACACAGGGCACACAGTTACAGAACTACAGAGACACGGGGACTGCACCACTGGACTTCAGGCTAAGGCTCACAGTCTCAGGGGACACCTAGGTCAACTGGCAAAACACACTTCATAAAGATAATGTTCTAGTCTGGTGGGCAATATTTACAGTGTTTACAGTCTTAAAAGCTTACAAGCAATCGTCTAAGAAGCAACTATTGGTTTCTTCTTGTTCCGAGCAAAGGAGAATAAAGAAAAACAAAGACTCAAAGAACCACATGAATCATAGCCTTCTCTAACTTGAGACCAGAAGAATCAGTGTCTGGCTACCACTATTGCCTATGGACCACTCTGACCAAGACCACAACAGAAGGTCTCGGTTAGAACGGGAGAAAAACGTAGGACAAAATTCAAAGCTTAAAAAAAAAAAAAGACCAGACTGACTGGTCTGAAAGAGACTAGAGGAACCCCGAGACCACTGCTCTGAGACAACCTGCTAACATATAAGTGAAGACACTCGAGGCCGTCTTCCAGCCAAAACATAGATGGGCCTAAAAAATATGCAATATGAAGAATGTTCTCCTGAGAGCAATCAACTCCATGAAACCAACAGGGCACCATCTGCCCAAAAGCAAAGATGAGAAGATAGGGAGGGACAGGGAAACCAGAAAAACAGAAATGGGAAACTCAGACAGGAGGCAGGGGAAGTGCAGACACACTGTGGGGGCTGCAACCAGCATTAGGAACAATCTGTGTGTGGACTGTCGACTGGGAAACTGATTTGCATCGTAAGCTTTCACCTAAAGCAGGATAAAATGATTTAAAGAAAAGGAAAAAGATATACCTTTAAAACAACAAGTGTGTAAGAAGGTTGCTATTGTGTGTCACTTCCAACTCACAGCGCCCCTAGAGGACAGAGTAGAACTGCCTACAGTGTCTCCAAGGCTGTTATCCTGATGGAAGCCGAATGGCTCATCATTCCGCCTCTTTCGATTTGCAGCCAAGCACTCACCACTGTGCTACCAGGGTTCCTTCTAAGAAGGCTAGAGGCACAGACCATTTCACTATCATAGTCAGACAATTTAAAACCCTTCTCTCAACAATTAAGGAGCCCTGGTGGCCCAGTGCCTAAGGCATCTGACTGCTAACCAGAAGGTTGGTGATTCAAACCCACCAGCCACTCCACGGAAGAAAGATGGGGCAATTTACTACTGTAAAGATTTACCACCTCAGAAACCCAAGGGGGGTCACTGTGAGTTGGCACTGACTTGATGGCAGTGGGTTGGGTTGGGTTGGGTTTGATGGCGCTGTGGTTAAAGCATTCAGCTGCTTACCGAAAGGTCAGTGGTTCGAACCCATCAGCTTCTCCATGGGAGGAAGGTAGGGCAGCCAGCTTCCATAAAGATTTATGGCCTAGAAAACCTATGGAGCAGTTCTACTCTGTCCTTTAGGGTTGTTCTGAGTTGAAATTGACTCAATGGCAGTGGGTTTAGTCATTTGGTCTCTCAACAATTGATAGAATAATTAAGGAAAAAATCAGTCCAGACACAGATGATCTGAGGACTACCAACCACCCGGGCCTAACTGATGGTTAGGGAGCCCAACATCCCACGAATGATGAATATACACATTCTTTTCAAGTGCACATGGTACATAACAGACTACACCGTGAGGCACAAAACAAGCCCCAATAAACACAAAAGTACTGAAATCGCAGAGTGTGTGCATGGACTACAGTAGCTTCAGATGTTAATAACAGTGATACATCTAAATACTAGTTCTCACCAAAAGGAGCTCTTTAGAGAAACAGCTGATTCCTAAGCTGGGGCAAGGAAGATACAAGATGAGCCTGGAGCATCTTTTTTTGTGTGTGTTAGAAAGTAAGAAATCTAAACAAATGATGAGGATGTGTCAAAAGGACACAGAAGCCTGCCTAAAGGGGCTCTCACTGGCCAAGTCCGGGACAATTAGAGTATCAAAATATAATAGGGACAGTGGCAGATTATAGTTTCTTTAATGAAACAGGAATCCTCGAGTCCAGGTTGATGATGAGTGGGTGGGTGGATGGATGGATGGATGGATGGATGGGTGGGTGGTAGGTGGGTATATGAGTGAATGGATGGATAGATGGATGGGTAGCTGCGTGGATGTGTGGATGGGTGGGTATATGAGTAGATGGATGGGTGGACATGTGGATGGATTGGTGGTGGATGTGTGGATGGGTATATGGAGTGGATGGGTGGGTAGATGTGTGGATGGGTGGATGGACAGATGGGTGAGTGGGTGGATGTGCGGATGGGTATATGAGTGGATGGATGGGTGGTGGATGGATGGGTAGATGAGTGGATAGATGGGTACATGTGTGGATGGATGGATGGTGGGTAGATGGGTGGATGGATGGATGGATGGATGTGTAATGGATGGATGGATGTTTGGATGGGTGGCATATGAGTAGATGGATGGGTAGTGGGAAGATGAGTGGATGGATGGGTGGGTGTGTGGATGAGTGGGTAGATGAGTGGATGGATGGGTGGATGGGAGGGTGGATGGATAGATGGGTGGGTGGGTGGATGTGCGGATGGGTATATGAGTGGATGGATAGGTGGTAGGTAGATGTGTGGATGGATGGATGGTGGGTAGATGAGTGGATGGATGGATGGGAGGATGGATGGATGGCTGAATGGATGGGTGGGTGGATGTGTAGATGGGTGGTATATGAGTAGATGGATGGGTAGTGGGTAAATGAGTGGGTGGATGGATGGATGATGGATGGGTGGATGGGAGGGAGGATGGATGGATACATGGATGGGTGAGTGGATGTGTAGCTGGATGAAGAAATAGATGGACCAGGGTTCTTCTTTATAGTGGAATGATAATGAAAAATGAGCAGGAAGTGCTGGAGTTGGAAAAATCACCATTTTGAACCATCAGAGTAAAGACTGTTTTAGGCCAAAACCATCAATGGATATTAAATCCAGGGAGTCTGATGAGGCCTGGGACACTGGCATGATCGCCACGTGTCTCCCTACAGATTGCTAACTACTCACAAGGATAAAATAACAACTATAGATGGGAGAACTGGACCACACCTTGCCTGGTAGATCAAACTTAGTATCATCAATGAGGGGCAGGTGGGCGTCACACACCTCTGGATAACGTGAGAAGACATGGCATCACTCCTGCTGTATCCTGGCCAGAGACACATAACTGAAATTAATTGTGAGGAAACATCTCACAAATCCCACCTCAGGAATACCACATAGGCTGTATTTCTCAAATATGTCAGTATTATGAAGACAAGAATAGCTGAGGAACTCTTCCAGATTTTAAAAAATGAGAGTGGCATGACAACAAAACACAACATGTGATCCCAGACTGGGTCATATACTAAAGGGAACGACTGATCAAATCGCATAGACTGTACCAAAACCAAACCAAACTCATTCCTGTCAAGTGGGATCTGACTCATAGCGACCCCTCCTTGGGTTTCCGAGGTTAAAACATTGTAGTGATAGTAACTTTCCTAAGTTTGATCATGTAAATATGATTGATTACATCAAAAATCACCCTTGTTTTAGGAAACACACATTCAACTCTGATGTATGAGGTATGATGCCTCCAACTTACCATCAAACGGGTCAGAAAAAAAAAATAAATAAATATCCTACACAGTGAGCGAGACACAGAGAATGAAAACAGAGTCATATGTTATAAAGCTGGTGAATCTGGACCAAGGGTATAACGAGAACTCTTTTATTATCCTTGCAACTTTTCTGAGTCTGAAATTACTTCAAAATGAAACAAAATACTGACGGTGGAGGACAAACACATGGAGAAATGTAGTAGTTCAGAAAAAGGGAGCGCCTTCTACCTGCAAAGCTTTACTTTTGGTGCAAGTGGCTCCAATCTTACCTGTCTTCTTTAATAACATCAACAAAATGAGCGTCTGTTTTCTCCCGGATGTTCTTGAATCGCAGCGGAAGGAGAGCGGATTGGTCCAAGCTGACCCCTGCCCACCGTCCCTTTTCCTGCAGCATCTCACACAGGGAAGTCTGACTGCTGGTGAGCTTTTCCTCCGGTGGAGGGCTCAGAAGTCCATTCTGGGCTTTGGAATTAGGTCCTCCAGAAGCCTGCCTCAGACAAAGGGGAGAGAAACACAGCAGTTGGGGTGCAGGCATCAACAAATGCCCCTTTCCATCCCCAGCCTCTCTGCCATGCTGGGGTCCCACATTCTCAGCAGCAGCCTCAACTTTTCGACCTGTAAAAGGGGCCAGCACCTTGAGATCCTATTCTAATGCCAACACCCAACCTCCCCACCCATCTGCTGCTCCTTGTTACCCTGTTTCTTCAACCTCCATCTGCAGGTGTTCAGGCCACCAGGAAGGTGGTGGCGTGGCAAGAGCCAGGAAGGGATGGAAAGGAAGCCGAGAGAAGAGTTGAGGTTCTAGGAGAGTTTGCTCACCACAGAGCTGGCGCTCCACAGGGAAGAGGGGAAGCGGGGAGGGAAGTGCGAGGACGGGTCTGGGAAAGGGAAGCTACGGCTCCCAGCTTACAGAACTATGGAGACAGGGGCTCAGGGTATGTGCCATGGTCTGCATAGGGTGGGGCCTGTGGCTGTGAGAGACATCTCCCGGTTCCTTCGGCAGATGGTGTGGGGGTGCAGAGTGACAGACGCAGCCTCCCTGGGGACGTGAGCTTCCTGAAAGGGGTCCTGGGTTTGCGCTCTGCTCTCCACAAGGCTCCTGGCCCTGAGCTCCAGGTTAGGTTGCTCCAGGAGCCCCCACTGCTGCTTGCTCTCACTCCAAGCTTCTCTCCGCCACGCTGCTCTCGTCGTGAAGCAGCCCCTCTTCTCTTTCTGTTCTGTCTTATTTTCAGCCCAGTGTCTAGCACCACAAATCCTTCCCTAACTTTTCAAGTCTCCGTGTCATTACCTCTCACCACCCACTAAGGGAAACTCATGTGTTCCAGCACGCAGTCCCTGTTCCACGAGGCTCGGTTGTGTCTCTCCACTCTGTTTTTTATTGTTCCGTTTAAAGCTCCACGAACTAGGAGGTATGGGATGGTGCCAGCTAAGGGGAGTGAGTCTCAGAACAGAGAAGCTGAGAAGACAACGCCACCTGGGTGGATGGGCCGGGAAAAGAACGGGCAGGAAGCCACAGCCACGAGCTCATTACCTTGGTGCTGTTTCTCTGGTCGTCTTGACAGCCATTCTGGACTGCTCCCCCTTCTGCACCAGCTTCAGATTTGGGAGCAAACGTGATTCCACACGAAGGGCAGGTCTACAAGAAAAATGCAGACCATAGAAACATACCCAGAACACACGACCAGTGTACACAATTGAAACAAGTCCACTGCCACCACAATTTGCTGTCACATAGGATGGTTAAAACCAAAAGGAAGGCTTGCCTGACCACCCAAGGGTGAGTTCAAAAGAAACTGGCAAAATGAAAACAGAAACACAACCACAGAGACCTGGACACAAATATTCAGAGAGCATCATTCATAATAACAAAACACTGAATAATTCAAATGTCCATCAAATGAGAAATGGATCAACACAATGTGGTCTATCTATACAATGGAGTATTACCTGGCCACAAAAAGGAACACAGTACTGACTCACACTACAACACAGATGAACCCTGAAACGTTATGCTAAGTGAAGGAAGCCAGTCACAAAAGAACACGTACAGTGTGGCTACACTTACGGGAAACGTCCAGAACAGGTAAATTCACAGACCCAGAAAGCAGACTGGAGGTTGCCAGGGGCTGGGAGGAGGGGAAGATGGGAAGTGACTCCTCTGGATACTACAGATCAGGGTTACACCTACCTCAAAGAATTACGGTAAGGTAAAAATGAGGGAATACACATGAGGCAGGCAAAGATACGGTAAGGTGGCTTCATCCTGGGCACCAACTCTAATCCCTGGGCACTGACCCCTGAATATGCAACTGAGAGGGATCGTGAGAAGACGCTAGCGTAATGAAGAGAGCTGTGACTGATTGCTGATGTCTGCCATAAGGTTATTCTGGCCAGTGGGGAAGACAGCTGTGATTGATTGTTGATGTCTGCCATGGGTGAAGGACTGGATGAGTGGAAGCACTTTTGTGCATCTGCCATCCCTGACACTCAGCACAATCAAGTGTTAGCAAGTGCTCTATAAATGGCGGTACTTAATGTTAAAATGTCGGTTAGTTACTTTCTCTGGTTATTAAGACAGATGATCTGGCAGTTTAATGTCCTTGATCACAGACAGGACAGTTCTGCTTGGTATCTGCTCATATGTAGCACTGGCTGTTCCATGGGTCTCTCTTGGCATCAGTTTGTTTCTAAGTGTTTTTCTCTCAAGTACACTTGGCATACTAAGTATTAGAACCACGAATGTTTAAGAGTGACTATCGCACCTACTGGACACCAGAGGGCACACTGCGGGCAGGTACGGCTCCCCTCAGGAGCCTGCACCCTGGGAAGGATTCACGGGATGGACAATGCACCTGCTTTCTGAAAGTCTCACCGAGAAGGGGCTGGAAGGGCAGCGGGGACTGGGAGTACCCGGGGGATGAGGCTGGCCTCGGGGGAGCCTAGGCCAGCGGTCTCCGCAGGTGAGCCATGTGATGCGGCCCCAGCAATCCCCCTGCAAACGCAGGCTCCTGGCCTGCACACCTGCTGGGTGAAATGCTCTGATACACAGTGGAAGTCCGGCTGAGCCACCCCCAAGAGGCCCCTGGGAGCAAGAGCACAGGGAAGGGGCCTCAGAGCGGATGTATTCCCACTCCGTGGAGGAGACCCGGCTCGTCTGGACCACACCTCCAGAGACAGAGAGCAGGCGCCCACGGGGACTCACTGCTCACGTGGCCCACCCAGCGCAGCGTCCTGGGAGTGAGGGGTTGGCGGGACGCGGGGAGACCTGGCCACGTGCATCTGCAGGCTACCCCAGGAGCAGGCACACCGCCAGGGCAGGCCATGACACTGGGGACAAGTGACTGTCCTGCTGCCGCCCCAGCTGCTTTCCTTCTTGGGAGGATATTTTACTGACTCAAACCCTAAGACAAATGAAAGGGCACGTTTTAAAGGAAGCCCTCTCCCTGATGGAGCCAGCCTTCAGTCCCTCCTGGGGGTCAGTCAGAGGCCCCTGGACATGAGCAGCACCCCCGTCCCGCCCTGTGGGCTGGTTTGACTCCCCTCCCCATGCTCAGCTGCCTGTGTGAAATGCATCCCAGCCCCCGGAAAGTGGGTCCTCCTTCAGAGTGGCAGGCGACTGTCAGTGTCCTGTCCCCCTGGGAGGAACATGTCAGATCTGGGGAGACTCCGGGGGCACTTCACTCCCTCTCGGTACAGGTGTCTAGCAGCGGACTGCAGGACGACGCGCTGGCAGGCCTGCTGGGTAACAGTGACCGCAGTGACCACAGCTACTGTTCTGATGGAGACGCTGTATGCCGAGGACACGGCCAGGCATGAACTGGGCCTCAGCCACACGAAGCTCATGGTCTCCTCAGAACGGCACTGAGGCACACACGACCGTGCTGAGGTCTGAAGGCCTGAGGCCACAGCTCCCTGGAGGCTGGGGTCAGCCTCCAGGCCTCCTGGACCCTGGTCACCATGTGGCTGTCTGCAGCACCCCTCCCCCCAGCACAAAGAGGACCCAGAACTTATCCTGTGCCTCGTCCCCCTGAAGCGACCCAGGCAGCTGTGACTGCGTTCCTGGTCCTATCAGCAGCACCACTGGCCCAGAGGCTCCTGGGGAAGCGTCTAGACTGGCCCCCCAGGCCTCCCCACGCTCTGGGCGAGGATCTGCTGGCTGGGCTGGCGGCTCTGAGATTTCCTTGGAGAACACCCAAGAGCACGCTGGCCTTTTCCAGCTTATCTGCTCCCTCTGCGAACATGGCTATGAACTTCGGTGGCAACACTGTAACTATTTCTATAACACACTGGGTCCCATTCGCATTTGTTTTCTAACACATTTCAGTACAAGCCCCTGCGGGCTGTGAGCTATGAAAATAGCTGTCCCTCGAGTCTCTCTCCACGGGCTGAATGATTTCTAAGCCACCAGCTGTCCCTTCTCATAACTGTCAAGGGAGGGAGCCGGGAAACCTCTTTTCTGAGAAACGAGGAGGAAAGAGCCGAAGTCCTGGCTTCTCCTGTTTAGTCTGCTGAGTGGGGAGATGCCCCAAGATGTCCTGCACAGAAGCAGCGTCCCTGCTCCCACCCTCGAAACTCACGCTGAGTGTGGCCGATCACTGCACTGCCACAGCCCGAGAGCAACGCACGGGACCAGCCCGGCCCCCTCCTCCACTCTTCACACGCATCCATTTAGCTGGTCCTCTCAACACCCTGTGCAGCAGGGATGATGATGGCCCCACTTGGCCCGAGAGGGCGCGGAGGCAGAGAAGGGACTTGTTCAGAGTCACAAGCTAGAAAAGGACACCGGTTCCCGGTTCCGTTGAGTCTCTGAGTCCTGGCCACCCCGGTGGGTCAGGGTGGGTCTGGGTGGAGCGGTGCTCCGTCAGCTGCCATGGCTGAGTGTTTGGAAGGAGACCGGGGGTCTTCTTCCCGAGGCACCTCTGGGTGGAACAGGGCTTCCGCACCACCCAGGGGCTGCCCGGAAACGGTGAGCCCTGGGCCCTGACCTCCACACGTGGCATCCCCAAGTGAACAAAGGCTCCCTCTGTTGTGATGTGGGACCCGGGAAACATCACAGTCACACCATCTCAGGTGGCAGAGTCAGGGCATTACTGTTTGAGCCAATGGGCCAGGCACGGGCACTGCCACTTCAAAGTGTTTGATTTCTGCTAAGAAACACGAAAGCAGCCGCCGCCCAGGATCCGAGGGGACAGGAGCAGCAATGAACCCACGCTAGGACAGGATCCCGGGCGCGGATCTGAGGACCCTGGAGGCAAAGGGACAGACATGTACACAACACCCAACGAAGGTCAGACACATGGTCCCAAAGGTGTGGTGTGGAAGCAAGCCACCCCGCCGTCTCTCGGCTCCTCCGCCCTCCATGACCAGCGAGTGTAAGAACCTGGGCTGGTCCCGGGAACCACACGCAGACGGGATGAAATCAGATCCAGCAGACGGAGAAGCAAGGGCAGTGCCGCTGTGTTGCAGAAACAGTCCAGCAAAAGTCCAAACAAAGAAATATTTGGTATTTCCGGTCATTTCATTTCAGTGAGCACTTACTGATGACGCCAGGTCAGCGATGCTGGACACAGGCTTCCATTTCAGCTCATAGGCATTTCTATACTTTTTACTTTGAAACAATCTGAAACTCCGAGAAGGGGTGGAAAGACAGTCCAGGAGTTCCTGTACCTTCCACTCCCCCTCCCCCAATGGCAGCCTCGTACCCAACCAACAGTACGGTTACCAAAACCAAGGAATAAAGAGAGGTCACACACTGCCAACAAAACGACAGACCTCATTCGGATGTTGCCAGTTTCCCTCCTGCACAAAAGGTGTCTTTCACCGCCTCTAACTTCACAGAGAACCATAACCAGCAGCCCCAGGTTGATTCCACGAAGTGGAAGTCAGACACGTCACCCCTTCCAACCTCTCCACCAATTCCGACACCAGCCGCCCCTCCAACAGCATCTCTACTTCTCTGCTGGGTTCGATAATTCGTTGCAATGGCCACACAGCACTCACAAACAATACTCATAATGATGGGGCCTATTAGGGAAGTGACAGGTTACATTGTTAGGAATGCTCAGGGTACAGTTCTTTGACCAGGACAGGCTCCTCTTGGCCGTGCCCCAAAGCCACGCCTCTCCCTGGCTGGCCTCTGCCCTGCTTAGGCCAGTATTACAAAGCTCTTCTAGCTCTGCCACTAGGTGCCCCAGACTCCGCCAGCAAGGCTCCTGCCCGAAGGCGTTCAACTTTCTCCCTCTGTGGGCTGGCAAGCCCACGGCCTGTCTCTTTGCCAAGGAGGTCCAGCGCAGGGGTCTTGGGTGCAAGGACCCGCTCCACTCCTGGCTGCTGTCTTAATGGCAGTGAGACCCCCCTTTTCTGCCTCTGGAATGGCTCATCAGAAGCCCAGCAAGATGGCAAAACTAACCAACCCTCACATTAGGGTTCCATACACAGCCCCACCCCCACCAGGGCACCTTATGCCTTACGTACACTATTAGCAAGCTATCCAATCCCTTTGGTGGCCCACAAGCACCTTACGTTCACACAGTCCCACCCTGTCATATGGTGGGAGTCCCAAAGCTGATGGTTAGGAGAGCCTTACCAGGCACTCCCTGCATTGCACCTCCAAACGGCCCTTGGCCGGATCCAGGA